CATAAGCCACAGTCCCTAAAAATTTTCCTAAACCAAGTCATTGACAGATAAAGATAATGCCTAAGAAATGTTACAAAGGATGTTTTTCCTCCTTTAAGGTTTCACCTAGCTTCTCCATAAAAAAAAAAAAAAAAAAAAAAAATGGTTAATGAAAATGTTCTTTGGGAGAAAGCCAGAAGCGTCAAACATCTGTAGTTAACGAGTCTGGAGACAACAACAGGCTACTGTGGAATCCCTCCAGCCTGACAGGCAGAGTAGGCTTTCTGGAAGAAGCAGTTCAAGAACCTTTCAGCTGACCTCACCCTGGGGCCCTCTCACCATGTAGTCCTCCTTGGAGGCTGAGTGGTCCTTCCGAAGCCAGCTGAAGGTATCTTCCACATTCCACTTGACCACCTTCCTGCTGTCAGGGGAGGCACTCCTGCAGGTCAACAGCAGGAGAAGGGTTGAGCTTTGTGCAGGACCCAGCTGTTCAGGTGTCTGTTCCTCCCCATATCCCGCTTTACCAGCTTCTCGGGCAGCGGCCCCTAGACTTAACATCCCATCTGTCTTTGGGAACAATGACAGGATGACAAGCAGCTATGAGAGCTCCAGCCACATGCCCAGGGCCTCCCCTTGATTGTGGACCCATTTTGCGGGGTAGAATGTGCCAAACCTGGACTCGATGAGCCGCCTGGCAGCTTCTGCATATTTAAAGAGCAGACGCTTGGCTTCCTCCCGGAACTTGATTCGGGATAACCTAGTTAGAAAGTGGGCAGAGTTAGAGCCCTTCTACATGTGATTCAGCACAGGGACCAAGCAGCCAAGCTGTGGGGCTGTACCTGATGGGAATGTCATTCATAATTTCACGAAACATGGATGGTGACACAACTGGTTCACAGTTGCTCGGCAACAAGGGGTCAGATCCTTTGTCCACCACTTTACGCTCCAGCATCCAGCGGTTGAAAGATTCCCGAGGAGGGTCAATGCCTGTGGGACAGGAGAGCTGCTAGGGATCTGGAGCAGTCAACAGGGTCCACTGATGCAGGGAAGGCACTGGGTGGGGCCATGAACAAGGCATGGGCCTTGTTAGTCTCAGGTGCTTATTCTCTAGAACACATTTTTCCCAAACTATATTCTGAGATCATGAGTGGTTTATTTTTTGAGACAGGGTCTGGGCATATAGCCCAGGCTAGCCTGGGATTTGAAACCTTCCCACATGAACCTCCCGAGTTCTGGGAGGTGTAGGCCACCATTCCTAACTTAAATCACTACAGTTTATAGCATTGGAAGAAATAAGGGGAGAGAGAGGAGCCTATATTCAGAAAAGTTGAGCAGGTTTATTTAGTAATTCTAAATTTAAAGGTGCATTTTATTGAGTGCTCATCCATTTCATTTACTCCTTGGGACAAACCTGTGCAGTACAGGTAATTTTGTTTTTATACTCTTAAAGATTTAAAAGTGTTGATAGTGCATAGCAAATAGTACGCTCCAGCCATCCTTTCTGTAATTAGTCCCCAGCTTACAGATGTGGAAGTTAAGTGGTGAACCCAGCATCATAGAGTCAGCAGACAGTGGAGCCAGGACTCCCACAAGTCTGTTTCCCTCCACAGCACATGCTGGGAACCACCAGGCTCCTCTTATCACTCCTAAACCCAAGTCCTGGCTTTTGCCAAAGGTGGAAAATAAGGGGGCTGAGGCCCAGGAGCCAGTTACCCTCTCGCTGCTGGCACAGCTCCCGGTAGTGCTGCCGAAGCTTCAAGATGAGCTGAGAGCGGAGCAGCTCCACTTCAGGATGCGGGGGCAGGACCTCTGAAGGACCCCTGTGCTTGATGACAGCATTGGTCTGGATGTCCAGGTCCCAGTACACCCTTGGGGCATAGAGCAGTAAAGATAACCTGCCCATCATCACCATACCCCACAGTCCTGATTAGGCTGGCCTTCAGCAATGAGTATATCCAAGCCAAGCAATAGGGACTCACTCAGTAGGTCGGAGGAGAGCTGCCTGTTTATCTTCAGGGGATGCACCCCAAATCTTTAATGTTGGGGTTCCTGGGACACTGGGGGAGCTGGGCACTGACTGGCTTGTGGGTGTCACAGGGATTTCAATCTGGAGCAGAAGAATCAAAAGCATCAAGTCAGGATATTGTGCAACCTGGCTCAGTGCTATGTCCCAGCAGCTGCATCTGGGGCCCCCTCTTGGCCCAGCCCTTGCAGGGAACCTGCTGGCTGCCAGCCCCAGGCCACCACTTCCACCCAGGTCCTGGGAGCTCCTGGCACTCACCTTCGGCTTCTTCACACCATTGCCACTCGGCTGCTCATCTGAGAGCTGCCGCTTCCTGGGCTTGCTCTCAGCAGGGGAAGTTTCCACCAAGCTTGAGTCTTGGGGCAGTGGGGTCGCATTCAGCCCCAAAGGGTCCGACTGGTGGAGGAAGACCAGCAGAGTTGCAGCCAGGGCCAGTGGCTTAGGAGCCCCAGCACTTCAGGCCCCTTCTGCCTCCCTGCCCTGTCTCTGGCTCCTCAAAGAAGCCAGAGGGCTGGGATACAGGTAGAGAACCTCGGCCTCCAGTCCTGCCTGCTACCTGCAACTGTGGCTGTGAGGGAGCTACTTCCTTCCTGATTCCCTCAGCTTCAGAAAGGCCATGTCAACCCTGCCTCACCACTGACATTGTGACACAAGGCAGTGAGTGTGACTTGGCCATGACATTCGGCATGAGATCAGTGCCTTAAGGGAAAAAAAAAATGGAAACCAGAAATAAAGAGAAAAGTCAAGGAATGCTTATTTTCAAAAGAGCAAGGCTCTGTGCATTGACCCCTTTGGTGACACCAAGAGTGTGTGTGGCCCTGAAATCTCACCACACTGCAAATCCCGCATGCCTGCTGCTAGCTGCATAGCTGTGGGCCAGTAACCTCCCCTTTGGTCCTCCTGCAAAATGGAGGCACCCCTGCATGACTGTCCACAGTAATGGCTGCTCCAGCTAGGGACCCACGAGTCCAGGTTCCTATCAGATAGCCTGTACCTCTATTACTAGAACATTCTTCCCCTCCCCTCTTACTCAGCTCTCTCAGCCTAACATACCTTAAATACTGATTCTCAGAGAAGTTCTTCCTAACTACCTTCTCTTCTCCAGGCAAGAGCCAAATGGATTCCAACACCATTCTACAAGTAAGTTCACAACCAGAATCCTACTCTTTGCCTCTAACAGACTAAGCACACCAAGGAAAGGAGTGTGCCCATCTTGCTGACGCCTATCTCACATGCACAGTGGTGTTCCCTGTGTTACACTATTATAATCACCTGTTCACTTGTCAGTCTTCCTGCTTGACTGACAGGGACTGTCTTACTTGACATTGTAGGGCTAGGCACCAAGCTGCTCAGGGTATATTTGAGGTATATATCAGAGGCTGCCCTGAGACCACTGCCCTAAGCTGGCACTCACAATCACATCATGCTGGCCCAGCACAGGCATCTCCCACAAGGACTGGTTGGTGAATCGGTTGAAGTAGTAGGGACGGTTCTCCCTCCGGCTCCAGCACTTCTCCCAGCCTGCATGCACCAGCTCCTCTGCAAACAAGTGTGAACCCAGCCAGGGTCAGGGCTGTTCACGGACCACCCCTGCTACCCGCCACCCCGCCACCCCTCCCTACCAGTACCTGGGAGGTCCTGAACCAGGCGGACTGGCTTTGGAGAACAGGGCTGGCTCTGATTGGAGGTGCCTGGGGAGTGACTCAGAAGGGATGCTTCCTCCCGGGGGCTGCCGTGATTCTCATTGGCCATCTCAGCACCCACGCGGGACCTGCCACACAGAGGACCAAGAGTGTCAACTCCATCCCACCCACCAATTACACCTGAGGGCTCTGGTGACTACCTACAGATGTGGATAAATTCAACCCAGTCTTATCCTGGAGGGATAATTACTGCCACAGGAGCAATGTCCCCTCAACTGAAAAACAGGTGCCCTCCTAGCTGTATCCTTTTCCCTAATTGCCCAGCTTGCCCTTGGGCTCACATCCTCTACAAAGCGTTCCTTGAATGCTTCCCCACCCACCCAGGTTAGGTGACCAAAGTCCCTCCTGAGCACCATTCTGCATCACAGCATGCAGAGGGCTGGATTTCCAGCAGGGACTCTCATTAGACTCAGCACCTCCAGGAATAGAGACTGGGCCCATTGCATCCCTCCAGAGCTCAGCATGCCACCTGGACCCAAGAGGAGCTCTAATTCTGCAAACTTACAAAATGCCAAAGTGGCCCACAAGAACAGGGTCTGCCTTTGAGAAGCCACTCCAGGAAGGACCAGTGCCACCTCCTCTTCGGGGAGGTAGGAGGTACTAAGTAAAATCTCAGTGGACCAAAGTGCAGGTGGGGAGGGAACATGGCATATAACTGGTGGTCTCATCACACACTTCAGAGCAGGAAGCAATTTGGGGCTAAAGGAACTAGTATACCCGAGGAGCACGATCTAATTCAGTCCTTCAGAAGCCTCAGGTAAACATTGTATGGATGCCAACAAGGAGGCCAGCTCCTTCAGATTTGTATTCCCCACTACTCCCTCCCAAACACACCCTGCACAAGCAAGACCAAGTCCTTCCCAGGTCCAGCCTGGGACCATTATCCCCCTAGAGGGCACCTGAGATCAGATTAGTGATGCTGTTACAACACCCACAAGAAATCAAACCCTTACCCACAATAAGACCACAAAGGCAGATTTAAAGATTAATTTTCTTTGCATGCTGAAATTTACCAACTCATTCTGGCCCCACTGATTAGCTCATGCTGATCAGGAGCCCTGATTGGCTGTTGACGACATCATAGGAATCATTGGAACATTAATTTTATTGTACACTCAGTCATAGACGTCTGTTAATTTGGAAAAGGAAAAGTCAATGGTTACTTTATCGGTACAGTTTGGCAGGTAAAAATTGCAGGGGAAACAGGACATAGGTAACAAGAGGGCTTTGATTACAGAAAGATCTGGAACGGTTCCTTAGGGGCTGCGCCCATGAGTTTCAAGGCTGAATAATGTCCCCCTTTCTCTCACCCTCTGGGGTCTGCAACACTAACATGAGAGGGTTTTCTTCTCTGGCTGGACTGAACCCACGTCACAGGGTTCCCACAGAAGCAGGGGAAAGGCCCACAAGAAGGCGTAGCACAGGTGGGTGGGCTGGTCAGCAGTGTAGTTGACAGGGGCCCAGGGGACGCCTTGCATCAGCAGCTGGGGAGCAAATAGAAGAAAAGAGAGTCACTGATCTGTGAGATGTTGCTCGGCAGGGACAACAGCAAGGGACAAGGACACACACACTTGGGGGACTTGAAGTCTTGACAAAACTTTTACTTCTTAAAGTTCAAGGCCAGCCTGGTCTACATAGCAAGTTCCAGGCCAGCCAAGACTACATAGAGAGACCCTGTCTCAAACAAATAAAGCTAAAACAAATCCTCAAAAAAAAAAAGTATTTCTCAGACATTTCAGCCAACAGAATACAGCTGGCTGCATTGAGCTGTGTTAAAAAATACCCTGAATTTGATTTAATCAACAGGGCTCTAAACTTAGTTTAATGCTCCAGGAACATTTTCTTCTGCGGTGCTGGAGATGGAACTCAGAGCCTCATACATGCTAGGCAAGTGCCCTTCCATGTGTTACATCCCCAGTCCTTTTTTTTGAGACAGGCCTTGCCACGTAGGCCAGGCTAGCCTTCAATTCAAAATTGATCTTCCTGCCTTCACCTCACCACTGCTGGAATTACAGGTGTGTATTACTATGCCTTGTTTGATAAAATTTGGGAGGTTCTAGGGATAGAACCTGGTGCAGGGCTTGCTCATCATAGACAAGTGTTCTACCACTGAGCTGTATACTTGGGCCTCTCACTGAATTGTCCAGAATGGCCTTGAACTTGATCTGCAGCTCAAGCAGGCCTTGAATCTATGACCTTCTTGCTTCACCCTCTAGGAACAGCTGAGATGAGTACAGCCTGTGCCACTAGGGCTGGAGGGAAATAGTTTAACTTGCAGTACTAGAGATCAAAGCCAGGGCCTGGAGGTGCTTAGGAAGCACTCAGTAAGCACTTCACCACTGTGCTTACAAACACCATCCAGAACTACAATCTTTTTTGTTGTTCAGTGTTTTGAGATGGACTCCCGTAGCCCAGGTTGGCCTCAAATTCACTTAGTAGCTGAGAATGATCTTGAACTCCTGATCTTTCCACTTCTACCTCTCATGTGATTACAGGTAAGAGCCACCATGATTAGTTTTTTTTTTGTTTTTTTTTTTGAGATCTCCCTATGTTGCCCAGACTGGTCTTCAACTACTGGCCTAAAGTGATTCTTCCACCTTAGCCTCCCCATTACATGGGACTACAGGGCATGCCACTGGGGTCTGTGTATTCATTCTGCATACGGAGCCCCCACAAACTGTATAGACAACCATGCCAACCAAAGTGCCCACAGACCAAACAGGGGAATCTGGGGCACCATCCCAAGCCACTCACACCTGGTGAGCCACACTTTGAATAATGTCTTGAAAAAAACATTACCAACACATATAGCACATCTCTTTCACCTTTATTGAAAAAATGCTTATCCCAATGTGGCAATGAGTGAGACACCTAAGTAGATGCATTTTGTGGAAGAGGCACAAGCAGCACAACTTGGTGCTGGCCAAAAGGGACCACTTCCAAAAGCAGCTGTTAGCCAGGTGTGGTCTACACAGTGAGTTCCAGGCCAGCTGGAGCTACAAGGAGACCCTGTCTTAAAGACTTAAAAAAAATAAAAAATAAAAAATAAAGTAGCTGTTACCAAAATCACCTGGGGGCACTTTCCAGTACCTCAGTTTATCTCTTAGGAGCAAGGAACGGGAAGGGAGCGCCAAAATAATTTATAATTTTACTGAGAGAGGGTCTTATGTAACTGTGGCTAACCTCGAACTCCGTAATCATCCTGCACGATCACCCGCGGCAAGATTTTTGTAATTTTTAAACTCACCCCAAATGGGACTGGGAAACAAGATGACTAATTTTTTCACTTTACATCACGTAAAATGTTACCAATTTAAATTATAAGGCTGGGGGTGGAGCTCCGTGGTATGGCGATTGCCGGGCATAAGTGAAACCCAGGGTTGTTCCCTAGCACAACAAAAAATAAGTACAAAATTAAAACAGAAAAATAAATGGGTGCAGCAGGTCTATAGCCCAAACACCAGCTGTGAGGTAGGCCAGACCCAAGTTCCAGGCCCTACTGCCGCTTCCCGGCTTCTAAAACGGAAGCACTTGACCCCCGCTGACCACTGCGGACTATGAAACTGTGCACTTTCAGAGAGACAGCAGCTCTGGTTTATGTTTTCACTCGGCCTGTACCTTCCCGACACCCCAACGCACACCGAAGTCAACAAACGCAGCTTTAAAGACGAACAGTATCTGCGTCAGCAGTGGAACCCACCCAGAGCAAAAGCCTCAGATTCCGGGATTGGGGGGCGAGAGCACCTCAGCAGTGCACCAATCATCATCCGCCGGCTCAGGAGGGCGGAGTCACAGGACTGGCGAAGAGCAGAGGCGCGGACGCGCGCAGGCGGGGCGACCC